GTCGCTACCCAAAAATTCACTCCTGACATCCAGTCACTAAAAGCCACTGAAAGAAGTTCAAACGGCACCGAAAGCATCAGCCAAAAACAAGGCCCCAGAAATGGGTGGATTACCATGGAAACGTTTCAACAAGCTGGTGAAGCCCTGGAAGCACTCACTCATCTGTGCCAGGAAATTTGGAAGACAGCTCCCTGGCCAATTGACCAGAAGAGATCCATATTTGTACCCGTTCCAAAGAACAGTGATCCATCAGAATGCTCACACCGTCATTAATATCACATGTAAGCAGACTTTTGCCGGAGATCTTCCAATAATTGGTGCAGCAGCACATTGGCAGGTCCCTGCGAAAGGTTCAGGAAGGATTTTGAAAAGGACGTAGAACCAGAGACGTCATCAGTGGTGGGATTCGGATAATGCAACAGCTGCTTCACCGCCTTCATGACCATTTTAAGTCTAAGAAAGGTAGTTTATTATTCCATACAGTGAATACTTAAATGAGAACAATAAAAGAGGTCCACGACACCTCTTTATGTTATAAGAGTCTAAAAATCTTAATGAAAGACATTAATACCCAACCAAAACCCAATAAAAGTGTTGTTCGAGGTATTTCCATATTGCGTCTTGATTGGGATCCTCACTTGCAACATTCTTCATTTTCATCTGAGCATCATCGGCTGTATGACTTATCCTTAAACATCTTTTCACCCTGGGGGGAGGATCCCATTCCGTTAGAGGCAGGCCAATCAGACAATAGTCATCGTGTTTGATAGATTAGAAACAGTTAGGTGACGTCTCTTCTTTGAACCTATTGTGTTCATCTTTGAAAAACTCCTTTCTGCTTCTGCTGAACATACAGCAATTGTTCTGACAATATTTTAACCTCTTTGAACACTCTCAGGAATTGCATCATTCACTCAGAATATCAAGTGGAATTTGGGGCTTAACCCAAAGCTGACACTAGTGATAGTGTGTTGCCCACTCTCTCTTTACATTTTTTTACATTTGTCTACCGAAGTAAAAAAATGCAAGGGAATAAAAATGCAATATTTCATCAAAAGTATACCAAGGTTTATGAAACAAATAAATAAATATTACAAGCATTGCTCTGTGTAATTTTTTTTATACCAATGGGTAAAGTGAATATTCCCATGGCACTTAAAATACACGGTTGTGCTGTGTTTAAAAATAAGGTAAAGAATGTAAATTTGTGATTTCTACCTCAGGGGGTTGATGACGAGTGCAAGTTTAACAACCCACTCACTGAACTCAACAGAAAATTAGGTATCAGCCCTGCCTAACCTGTGCCAACCAACTGCATCCACCCCCTGGAGATCACTGCTGATGCCAGGTGGCTCGTGTCTCAAAGCAGAGAATACCAGAGAGACGCTGGCTTCAGCTTCATTTCCTAGGCCAAGGCATTGGGCTGTGTGGATCAAACAAATGATATCTTGGGTCATAACAAACTATGTCATGGAACATCCAGAACACGTCATTGTGTTCATGAGGTACCTGTACGTGGATCCAGAGGCAGTTGTGTGAACAAACAAGGGAATACTGTGTGGTTTACCATCAGCAAAGGTGAGCATCAAAATTGTATCCTCTGAACATACCGATTCCATCTGGATGCTGAGCCCTGAGAGACGCTGGATGCTATGAGGAAGAATGCAGCATCAGGCTTGAAGGAAGCCTCGCCAACAACCTGAGATATGCAGATAATGCAACCTTGCTGGCTGACAGTGAGGAGGACTTGAGGCACTTGCTGATGCAGACCAAGGATCGCAGCCTTCAGTGTGGATCACAACCAGAGTCCTCACAAATGGACCATTGGGTAACGTCAAGATAATGGAGAAAAGGATAAAGTGGTCAAGGATTTTGTCTTGTTTGAATCCACAATCAATATTCATGGAATCAACAGTCAAGAGATCAATCGATGCACTGCACCGGGCACATCTGCTGCACAAGACCTCTTGGAAGATTTAAAAGCAAAGATGTTACTTTGAGGACTAAGGTGTGCCTGACCCAAGTCGTGGTCTTTTCAATCACCTCAGATGCGCATGGCAGTTAGAAACTGAGTAAAGAAAACTGAAGACGGATCCACACATTTGAGTTACGGTGCTGGAGAAGACTATTGGAAGTACCATGGCAGAAAGGACCTAGAAGCAAGGATGGTGAAACTTCACCTCACATACTTTGAGCATGTTGTCAGGAGAGACCAGTCCCTGGAAAAGGACATCATGCCTGCAACCATGGAGGAGTGGCGAACACGAGGAAACTCTTCAATGAGATGGACGGACACAGTGGCTACCGCAATGGGCTCAAACCCAAGAACCATCGTGAGGAGGTCCTCTTGGACATAGAGTCACTATGGGTCGGAACCAGCTGGATGGCCCCCAACAACAACATCAACATCAACAGATCACTAAGACATCCATCTACTCCATACTGGCCCCCGACACTCTCCAATCACGCGGCCCGGTTGAGATTCTCCTCCTACACAGTGGACAGGGGAGAGAAAACTAAGAAACAGACAGCAGCAATGGATGTTGGAGAAGGTAGTGGGTTCCTGAGCTGGGGCAGCGTTTTTATCCTGCAGGTTGCAGGAGAGGAGACAGCTGCAGTTTCTGTCCCTGAAAGGGAAGTTGCTCGGAGACGAAACAATGGGAGGAAGGCGTGGAAGGGCCAGCCTCATGACGTACCCCAATAGCGTAGCGAAGAATGCCCGCCTTGTTTGCTTCGGGAATGACATCCGCATAGTCTAGCTCATCTCTTTGTTTCTGCCCGTCAGTAATGACGATGAGGATCTTGGTGGCATCGTTTCGGGCCCCATCTTGGGTCCTGAACATATACTGCCTGTCAGGGGAATAGAGTGTTCAGAGGCCCGTGAACAGAGGACTGCTAGCTACAGAGGCCCTTAAAAAACGAAAAAGAGCTGTCCCTTCTTCTGGGAGGCCAAGGTCTCATGGAAAACACCCAGATTGGGGAGAAAGCCCCAAGCTGCATTTCAGGCCGCTGCCTCTTTCCCACGGAGACAAAGGTGGCCCAGAGGTCGGCTCACATGCTTGGTGGGGCGGGGTGGGGTGGGGTGGGGTGGGGTGGGGGGTTGAAAGGCTCAGGAAAAGGCTGAGCTCACGTGGCTTTTTTAATGGCCGTGGCTGTGTGAGTCCACCCGGTCATTTGGTTCACACGGTCCAATAGGTCTTGGGGGGCTGAGCTGCGTTTGAACTCGTTGAAAGTGAAATGTAGTTGGAATTTATCAGAGAACTGCATCAGGGCAAACTAGGGGTATAAAAAAAACAAAAACGAAAAACAGCTGGGAGCTGAGACTCCTTCAACCAAATTCCCAACCGTTTGCCCGGCAATCTTTCTCCCAGCAAAGCCCCTCCCAGCATAGACCTAGTGGCAATGCCCTCCACACGGGCCCTCTCCTGTCCCAGGACCCACCTGGGTGCTGGGTCGATGGAACTGGCTCATCACGGCCTTCACAAAGTTCAGCATGGTGGCGAAATCGGAGGAGGAGATGCTGCCTGAGCCGTCAGTCAGGAACATGATATCTTTCTCCTGCTTTGGACACTCTGCAGAAGGACGGGGGGCTGGTCTTCCAAGCGTGTCCCCTCACAGCCCAGGACCTCAGCCTCTTTGCCACAAGAATTCATTTCTTCAACACTGCCCCCCGGGGGTCCCCTCCAGCTTAAGTCTGGGGCGCCACTCTAAGTCTTCTTTGTGAGGGTATAGGGCTTCCTTCAACCTCTCCCTAGACTCCAGCCTTTCCATCTTCCGAAGTCTCCTCAAGAGACAACAGCCATGACTTCACCCGTTCGTGGCTGGTTCATCACGAGCGGAAATTCTTCCACCCTGGAAAGTCAAACGCTGGGCCTCGTCTCTTTCCAGCTTGGTGTTGCCCTCACTTCTTCCCCTCTTGTTCCCACAGCCCGGCAACGAAAGCGCCCCGCTCGGGTTCCCTGGCCAGGGTCTGCCCTCATTGGTCAATGCTGAACTTGTGTTAAATAGATGGAAGGAGAGACCAGTCCCTGGAACGGGACATCGTGCTGGGTGACGGGCAGGGGCAGAGACGAAGAAGAAGGCTCCTCAAGGAGATGGATCGGCACGGGGGCTGCAGCCATGGGCCCGGGCATCAGAGGAGTCGAGAGGCTGGCGCAGGGCCAGGCAGTGTGCTGTTCCGTTGGGCAGAGGGTCGGAACCGACGCCATGGCCCCTAACACCAGTGCCAATGATGAGGCCCGCGACCGCTACATGCTGAGCCTCCTCTGCTCTTAGCATCAACATAGGCTCCCACTCCCTTTTTCAAAGAAAGCCTGATCTCACCGCAGAAGCGGGCTTCCAAGTGGTTCGTTCTGGTTTGGTCCCTGCTGACAATTTACCTTTCTGCTTCCGAGATCCAGAACCCCGAATCTACAGCCTAACAAGATAGCCCATGTGAATCCCACGCGCACACAGAAAATAGGATAGAGATAGATGTTCCCGTCGGGCGGGTGCTACCAGAGTGCACCAGTTCAAAGCTCTGCTCGGAGGCGAGGCTCTCTCAGCTCACGAAGGAGGCCCCTTTTCCATCCTGCCCTAGGTACCTCCTGCCACAGAATGAAGTCCCTCCCAGGGGTTCTACTGGGAGCCTGGACCAGCAGGGAGAATCTACATCCAGGCATGTGCTCATGGGGCCCCTAGGCCCCCAGTTAAGAGGTCAGGTGTCCATCTCCCCACAGGCCATAAATTGGGTGTGGACAGCTCAGTGTTCCACTTCCTCCTTGCCCTTTGCCCCAGGAAGCGAGTCCCCCGGCCCCAGCACACAGGCACACACGCCTATGCACTGCCCAGGCTGCCTGCTCCCTCACCTCTCTTTCTCAGCTTGCTGCGTGAGGGTTTACAAAAAATAAAATCTCTACGAAGAAGAGCAGCTGGCTTGCCTTGAGCCTTCACCACAAGTCACTGGGCTGCACTGTGACCACGAGTCAGCTGATGTGCCTCCCGGAGCGTGTGGCGAGCATTTCTGTCCAGCAGAGAAGCAAAGCCAAAGCCACAGGGCAGGTCTTCCCGGGGGGAGGTACGATACCAGGAAGGATGGGGATGCAGGCAGCAGCTCCCCAGCGCAGGTTTAGAACCACGATGCCATCCCGTCGATCTTGTTATCCCAGACACCACTTCCTTTCTTATCCACCCCGGCAAGAGAGCCTCTGCCTGGGTGCAGGGTTCTCACAGGACCCGAGGGCCAAGAACACTCACCCTGAAGAACAGCGGGCAATCTCTGGGCCCCTTGGGAGGAGGCAGCTAGCTGGAAGCAGAGCCCATTCAAGTGCATGTTCTCCCTGCATGCACGGTGCACAGTGGGGCCACAGGCCTGGGGACAGAGGGAGTCAGTGGGGGAGACGGTCGGTCCCTGCTTCCTTCTCACCCCAGAACCCCCCCCTTTCCCTGGGACCCCGGGTCCCAGAACCCCCAGTCCCCACCCTTTCCCTCCAACTCCTCCTGTAACCCAAAGCAGCTCACCAGCAGCTGGGAGGGGTTGGTGGCAGCTGCCAGAGACAGGCCCAGGGACATGTTCACAGCCTCTGTGGGGACTAGGATGACAGATATGTACATGGTCACCCTCACTGGTACAGACGGGACTATGGTCGCTTCAACTGTGAGAGATGGGGTGATCTGAATGGTCAAGGGTGGGGGGATGTGGGTCCCAGATATTGAGAGTTGGGGCAGTGTAGGGTAAGGTGACCAGATGTTCCGCTTTTGGCGGGACAGTCCGATTTTTAACAATTTTTCCCACATCCCACGGCATTTTTAAAAAGTCCCGATTTTTGGAAAGAATGCACAACAAGCTAGGGTGTATGGTTTTCGCTGCCATGTAGCTATTTCACCAGGATATGAGTTTTATCAGTGGCGTCCCCGCTTTACCAATCTTAAAATCTGGTCACCTTAGTGTAGGGGTGTCCTGGGCAGGGAGCCCTCCATGGGGTCATGGAGCCTGTCTGAGCCCGAAGGGTGTGCAGACAGAACTGAATCTAGGAAGCCAAACTCTCCGGTCGACAGGCCGTCAGATCTGGGGGCTGGAAAGGGGCAGGGACTCGCCTTGCAGGGGGAAAGCCTCGCAAGTGCCCCCCTTGTAGGCACACCGGTAGATGCCTCCTGTCTGGTCGACAGCCTTCACCTCTTGGGGAGCCCCGACCACCACCCTGTGAGAAGAGGCAGAACATCACGGTGAAGAACGTGGGCTCGGGAGCCAGGCGGCCACTTGGCAAGTTTGCTTCCCACCTCTGAAAACAACCCTCTAAGCTTCACGTGGACTGCGCGGCGCTCCTGAGACCGTGCGTGGCCAGCGGAGGCACCCCGCCACCATGTGCTGCCCGAAGGACTCCTGCCTCAAAGGGCTGTCAGGAGCCTGCAATCGCGTCTCCTAGGGTGTGTGTAGCGCAATACCTGGGCCCTTTGCAAGGGCTCAATCCATGTTAGCTCTGATTATTGGGTTGGCAACACTGCGCCTGCTTTCTGTCCAAACCTTCATAACCTCGAGGGAAGTGGCACACCCGGCGGGGGTAAAAAAGATTTCGAAGCACGGGAGGTCAGCAGGTGAGAAAGAGAAGCCTCGGGCTAAAGGAGGAGGTGGTAGAACCAGAAGTCGATCACTGCTGCTCCTCACCAGGTGTCGTACTGAGCCACGCTGTATCCAAACCCAGGCCTGTCCACGTGGAAGATGGTTGGCCTGTCCGTGTCCAAGTTGAAGCAGAGGGAAGAAGCTAAGGCTGAGGAGGCACAAAGAGAATTCCTGGAGAAAGGCACCCCGTCCTGCCTCAGCTCCCTTGGCTCCATCTCCCAGCGCCCCCATTCCTCAATGCAAGGACCCAGGATTTCCTTGCTGTCTGGACTCCCATGGTCGTGACTCCCTTTGACTTCCTCCTCTCCTTCAGATCGCCCAGAGACAGTTCTCCACCTAGTTGTCTGCCCTGGGACGTCAGATCTCCATTTCCACAGACTGGAAATGTGATCCTCCGCCAGGCTTAGCCCTGAGGGTCCTTGGAGGGGAGTTCAAGTGACAGGGCAGACAGAGTAGGATGAACTTGTTCTGCCTCCTTTCTCTCTCTCTCTCTCTCTCTCTCTCTCTCTCTCTCTCTCTCTCTCTCTCTCTGCATCGTCAGGCAACTATCTTCTCTTCTGGCCTCTCCTGAACTCTTACAAAATTGCTTCTTCCATATCCCCTCCCTTCCTTAACCCCAGGTGCTAAACGTCATGGGCCAGTCTGCCCTGAATGCTTCAGTCTAAAATATGCATTGTCCTCTCTCTCTCTCTTAGGACCCCAAATCCCTTATGCCCCCTCTTTAGGGGTCCCCAACTCACCCATCAGCAGAAGGAGGACTGTTTGGGTCATGACTTGCCAGTCCAACGTGGAGCTCCAAGCTCCGGGGCCACCAGGAACACAAGTGGACCACGCTATGAAGGAAGCAAGTGAGTAGAGAAGTGAGCAGGAGGCAGAGGCGGGTGGAACAGCGTCAGCATGACTCAGAAGGGCAGAGTGGAGGCTGTGGCTTCGACACGCAAAGAAGGGTCTTGCTAATCCCACGGTCCCCACAGAGAAGTCTCTCTTTCTACTCAGAGAAATCGTGACCTGGTTTGCTTTTCTTGCCCCTCCAATCTAGACTTGGGTGGATACAAATTCACACACACATACACACAAGAGAGAGAGTGAAAGAGAGAGCTCATGTTCTAGTAACACAGTCGGAGGAGCATTGAACGGCTAACCACAAGGGCTGAAGTTCAACGGCACCAGTTGCTTTCAAGAAGAAAGATGGGGTTGTCTGCTCCCAGGAAGATTTCCGTCTGGGAAATCCTACAGAGCAGTCCATCTGTCCACTAGATGTGTTACTCTGTCCACACAAGGACACTTCAAAGACATGGAGAAAAAAATCCATATATATATATGTATATATATATATATTTTTTTTAAGTTCCATTTTCCATGAACTTTTGGGAGCCCCTAAAAAGCAAAAGTATATGAATGTGTGGTTTTTGGCTTTTTCGATTTCTCCTGCAATGGAGATAGCTTGCCCTTGATTCTTTTGTGGTAGCGATTCACCCAATTTCCCCCTAACTGTCGTAAGATCTTTGTCATCCCAGCACAGACAACCACATGAATGTCTGATTCAAAATGGCCACGTTGAAAACCAGTCCACTTTGGCTCCGTCATGTCCAGGAGGCCCGTCTTTATGTGGTCTATTTCATATTTGACGACTTCTCATGGTCCTAGACTCAGACTTCTTACATTCCAAGTTCCAATTAGGACGAGGTGTTGATAGCTGTTCGTTTACGTTGTGCGTCGGGTTCCATCAGCAAATGGGGACCCGGAAAACTTGAAGATGCTGTTCAGAAGTGGACAGCCGATGCCACTGGTCTTTCAAATACCAGCTGGGTCACCCAAAGTGAACAGGCTTCAGCTGAGCTTCCCGACTCAGAAGAGACCAGGACGGAGGAATAGGCATTAGCCACTGAAAACATAACGGATCGCATCAGAACACTGTCAGACAATGGGAGCCTCGTGGATAGAAGCAGGGCATTGTCAGAGACGGTGCCAGAAGATGAGCCCTTCGGGTCAGGAGGTGGTCACGACGTCACTGAGGAAGAGCTGCCTTGATGACGCGACTGGTGTCAGGTCTGGGGAGTAGAGGCTTCAGGACCTTATTTGCTGACAGAGCACAGCTGAGAATGAGCAGAATTAGCTGCCGGCATCAATTAATCATCAGAACTCAGCATGTACAAAGCCTGCGTGTAGGGAAGCCGGAAGTTGACAAAACGGAAGCGGCATGCATCAAGGTCAACCTTTAGGTGTTCGTGAGCTGAAATGGCCTGACGCTGACCCTTCTGAATCAGAAAAGCACGCGGCTGACTATGCCAGGAAGGACAGGTTCAAGAGGAACGGCATCGTCACCGTTGTGAGAAAGGACATTTCAAGACCAACTGAAATGTTTCAACAAGCTGATGAAGCACAGAAGCACTCACCTGTCCAGTGAATTAGTTAATTGTGCCAGCCTGGCCGATAATCCCATGTGGTGCTGGTTGAAAGGCGGAGGGATAAATGGGTGGTGAAGCCTCGCCTTTCTAGTTCTCGGGTCTCTTGTTTTGTGATGGTCGCACCAGGTGCAGCTGCCTTAGCAGTTCCCTGCTTCCGCTTGCAAGATTGACTTCCTACAAGACATCCCCAAGGAGAAGCCACATGGACCTATCCCGATGCAGCCCTGGGTGCTGGAGCAGCCGTGTGGAGACCCCTGCTAGTGCTGAGATGCTTGTTCGTTCTCGGACTCAGCTTTCCTCCTGCAGTCGGCATCATTGCCTTGTTTTGTGAGGTGGAGGACTTTGTGGACTAGTGTTGGGTTAATGGGTTAATGTTGGACTTGTGGGCTTGGGCAGCATTGGGTTGGGATGTTTTCGTGATGCACATTTTCTTTACATAAAACTCTCTCTTATACATGAGTCGCTGTGGATTTGTTTCTCCAAAGTACCCAGACTAATACATCCGTGAAAGGAAAGCTGGAAGAGGACTACCGCATATACCTGCGTATGAGCCGAGTTTCTCTGCACATTTTTAACGCAGTCATGGTTCAAAAGGCCATGTTCAGGCCTGTCTTGAAGTACGATGCTGTCTGTGGCAGATACCATCTAGCCACATACAAAGAGACCGTCAACAACGGTTTTTCAGATTTATGAACCAGCCACAAAAGCTCCTGTTGAAAAAATTGAAGAACTCCACCAACATCTTTAGAGTCTGAGATTGATCAAACATGCAATCAGATGCATTCATAATGACTGGTGATTGGGATTCAGACGTTGGAAACAAAGAGGAAGAAACCAGGGTTGGAAAATGTGACCATGGTCACAGAAAGGAAGCTGGAGAGCCTGTGACAGAGTTTTGTAAGACCTGTTCAGCAACATCTCTGGGGACTGTACACTTGGACTTTGACTACACCTGTGGGAAGAGACGATGGAGAAGCTCAATATTGTGCTCCAATCACAGAACAAGAGCATTGACATTACTTGCAAGTAAAATTTTGCTGAAGATTATTCAAGGACAATTGCAGTCGGACATCGACAGGGAACTGTCAGAGGTTCAAAAGAGGCCATGGAATAAGGAATATCATTGCTGATGGACGGTGGATCTAGGCTGACAGCAGAACATGCCAGAAATATGTTTACCCGTGTTTTATTCACTATGCTAAAGCATTCAACTATGCGAATCATTCATGACAAGCTATAGACAGCCTTGAGAAGAATGGGGATTCCAGAACACGTCACTGTGTTCCTGCAGAACATGTACATGGATCAGGAGGCAGTTGTGGGAACAGACAAGGAAACATTGCATGGTTTAAAACTAGGAGAACTGTCTAAGACGGCGTCCGCTTGGATGAAATCTGCTTATCGGTCACCAAGGAAGATGGATGAGATTCCACCTTGAAAACATTCTCTCTGGGTTTTTTCTTCCCCTCCATGAGGTCACGCTGAGCCCTAATGCAAATAGGCTGCTTCTTGAGACTCTTAATTAGGTAGCACATTTCAAGAGTAGACCATAGGAAATTTAATTGTTTATAAAAATATTAATTTTTACCTCCACATGGTGCTATTAAGTTAGATATTACCTATTTTTTATGACACATGTGTACTTGTACATGAAATAGTTTGGTTATTATCAAGGGCTAATAGGTTTTTGTGTTTGTAATGACCTTGAAATCAGAATCTTCACACGTAACTTAAATTCGATATACAGAACATGTTTTATGCAAGGACTGGATGGGATATGGAAAATGAGATTAGTTGTTCCAGAAACCTGGGACATTGACCTTGGTGTTTTTTATATTTTTCTCCCTACTCCTGACAAGGAACGCAGCTTGCTTAGAGAACAGTAGAAGGGGAAATTGGTTGCCTATCATTTTTTTAAAAATCACCTGGGCCAGTTTTAACATAAAATGGCTAATTCTAATCATTGACTGAAGTCAAAGATAAGGGAGAGTCCCAGTCTGAATTCCTATAGCTCAAGGAAAACTCTTTTTTTAAAAAATCGTTTTATTAGGGGCTCATACAACTCTTATCACAATCCGTACATACATCAATTGTGTAAAGTGCATTTTTACATTCACTGCCCTCATCATTCTCAAAAGATTTCCTCTCCACTTAAGCCCCCGGCATTAGGTCGGAAAACTCTTTTTATAAAGCTCCCCTTCCCATGCAGTGTCGAAGGCTCCCTGGTGGAACAGTGGGCCAACTGCTGGGCTGTGAACTAAAAGACTGGGCTTCAAACCCACCAGCTGCTGGCAGAAAGATAAACCAATCCGCCCACGCCGAGATTTGCCGTCTCAGACCTCACAAGAAGCAGCCCTACTCTGTCCTATGGGGGTGCCATGAGTCTGAATCTACTTGATGGTGGTAAGTTCTTAAGTAGGTGTATACATTCTTAAGGAATCTTGAACTAAATTTGGATTTCAATACAGAAGTAAACGCTTGGAAGAAAGTTTAGACAGACTTTATTTCAAGAGTAATTATGTTTTGTGGTAGATAGGCAGTTTCGAGATGTTCAGGTAATGTCCTGGTATTGAATCAGGGTTAGCAAATAGTTCTCATAATCTGAAGCTCCTATGCTTTTGCTTTTTGGGGAAAAAAGATGCATATTCTTCGGTCTGCGAAATGGTGTCTTCGTGTAAAAGATGATTATGAGCTACATGGCGCAGAATCAATGTCATGTGGCTGTCGTTTTACTGTATAGGTCTTTTCTCACATCCCCTCCCTCCTTCCCTCCTTCCCCCTCCCTTCCCCACCCCCCAATAGCAAAATGACAGGGATGAAGTAGCAATGAAAATAATGTTATGGTTGGGGGTCCCCACCACATGAGGAACTGTATGAAAGGGTCGCGGCATGAGGAAGGTGGAG